TCTTTAATTCTCATTGATCGAACGACTCGACAATTTTGGGGCAAGTCTGATTAATGTTTACCTTCAGACCTTTTATTGCGAGCCACTCCTTGTAACTTTAGCTGAGCTTTAAAAAGGTATTTAAGATATTAAACTTGGACATGTTTCGTCTCTCGAAACACAAATTAAAAGCTCCTTCACTGTAATTGATCGAGCGACACGACATTTTTATGGCAAGCCTGATTAATGTTTACCACGTGCGTGGGCTCTAGATTAAAGCCACAAAGAATTTTATTGGAAGAGAGCAACCCTTACTCATGCATCACGGGAGTCATGTGACTGACAGCTGTGGATTGAGGCTTCGAAGCACTTTTGCTTAGTATTGCTTGAGGTAAAAATTTCTTTTTTAGCCGTCAAGAGTTTATTCAGGTTTCAGACGAATTCACCTACCGCTACGATATTTCTGTAAGTCACTTTATGTTCTACAGAAGATCTGATCATTCAAGGCCGAGTTGTTGTGCCGATCAGTTGCTTTTAACACTACACATCGATCACTAGCTGGCACACCTCAACTTCCTCTACAGCTCGACTTAAGTTGCTTAGTCGCTTTGTTAAGCGCTCGTTTCATTTTGAAAGTAAATAATCATTAAACATTTTCATTCAATGCTATGTGCGAGGAAATTCTCTTGGTTCCAGCAGGTTTAGCATACGTTTTTTGTACTATAACGCGCATCTACACCAGAAGAGAGCAGGATCAGTTTGGCAAAATCCATATGTTGGTTGACCGAGAAATATAACAAAACTCCGTAGTCTGATAATGTTAAACGGACATCGAGTCAATCTCCTTCATACAAACATGTAAAAAAAGACTGAGAAGGCTGGCAGTACTAGAATATGACTTTGAACTAAGATTTGCAGTTCTCGGGAAAATCTAGGCTAAATATTGAAAGTATTGTGAGCGTCGTGCTACTGAGTAATTTGCGGGTAAAAAATATGTATCGACTTTAAATAGAGATGTTTTATCGGTTTTGTTTGTTCGAAAGTAAAGAATTGTACCAAAGGTTTCCCTTGAGGTGACTAACTTTGTTCCCATCAGATGCATGATTAAGTCATTTCGCTATTTACTGAATATATCATTGGGCTGCAAGCGGTCAAATTTTTTGAAATTTTCATAGGAGAGACATATGAACTGAATGTTGTTTTTTCTTGCCTAAAAGCAAATCGCACAATTTAACCTGTACTGACATATTTTTGTGGCGAAACATTTTTTATTCGAGTACTGATGAGGAGGTTATATTAATCATGAATGTGATCTGTTCCGTAAAAACGATACTGCTCGGTGCATAAATAGTCGCTTCTTCCTGCCTGAAATCGAAATAGCGAAACCAAGTAGCACGGTCAGGCATCTTTTAACAAAAGAGTTTATCAAGAGAAAGCATATCAACAACAGTGAACGGGATAAATACATCAATAGCGTTCGCAAAAGACAGCATATTTCTTAGAAAAGACTGTTCAAGAATCATTTGCATGCGACTGAGACGCGATTTTGATGAGCTTAAAGAAATGAAGGTTGTAATAAATTTTTTCTGCTTTGAAGCTTCGTTAAGACAGATAAGAAGTGAAAAATCACTGCCTTTAGTTTCGTTTCGAGCAAGAAATCTTAGTAAACCTTCCCAGGCCTTGGAGTTAAATTGCTGACTCCATCGTCTTGTTTATCATTGAATAATGAATGATGTTTTTCAGTGAGAACTTGAACGCTAAGGAGATATGTTATTGAATCAACGCCAAAACGACTGCCGCTCCATTTGAAATTATTGGTAGACGTAAAAATCCGATTTACCGACGGTATTGTTCAGTAAGATCTTATTTTCCGACGGATAGGAAAGCAGCAAACACTACTGTAACTTTAGCTGAACTTTAAAAAGGCATTTAGGATAGTAAACTTGGACATTTTTCGTCCAAGTTTACACAAAGAACAAAAAAACACAAAGTAAAGCTCCTTCACCCTAATTGATCGATCGACTCGATAATATTGGGGCAAGCGTGATTAATGTTTACCTTTAGACCTTTCCCACGCAAGCCACACCTTGATGGCTTTCTTCGATGACTGTGATCTCGTGCTAGATTGATGTTTACCTTTAGATTTATCGCGAGCCACTGCTTAATGGAAGTCTACAACCACACTGTGATCACGTGCATTGGCCTTAAATTAAAGTCACAAAGAATCTTATTGGAAGAGAACTACCCTTACCGATGCATCACGGGAGTCATGTCACTGGCAGCTGCGAATCGAGAAGGCTTCGAAGTACTTTTACTTAGAATTGCTCAAGGTGGAGATTTCTTTTCTGGCTCGTAAGAGTTTATTCAGCTTTCATTCAAATTCAGCTACCGCTAGGATATTTCTGGTGAGTCATTTTATGTTCTCCACAATATCTGATCATTTAAGGCCGGGTTGTTGTGCCGTTCAGTTGCTTTCAGCACTACACGGCGATAACTCGCCGGCACACTCCCTTTACAGTTCGACTTAAGTTGCTTTGTCGATTTGTTGATCGTTTCTTTCGCTTTGAAAGTAAATAATCATCAAAAATTTCCATTCAATGCTATTTGTGAGGAAATTTTGCTTGGTTTTGGCAGGTTTAACATATGTTATTTAGTCTATAACGCGCATCTACACTCGAAGCGAGCAGGATCAGTTTGGCAAAATCCATACGTTGGTTGATAATGTTAAACGAACATCGAGTCATCCCTTTCATATAAACATGTAAAAAAGACTGAGAAAGATATGCACCACTAGAAGATGACTTTTAACTAAGTTTTGTTTCTCGGAAAAGATCTGGGGTAAATATTGAAAGCATTGTGAGCGTCGTGCTAGTGACTAATTTGCTGAAACAAATTTTGTATCGACTTTAAATAGAGATGTTTTATCGGTTTAGTTTGTTCGAAAGTAAAGAGTTGCACCAGAGGTTTCTCTTAAGGTGACTAACTTTAATTGTTCTCATCAAATGCATGATTGAGTTATTTCGCTCTTTAAATAAATCATTAGGCTGCAATCGGTCAAATTTTTGAAATTTTCATTGGAGAGACGTGTGAATTGAATGTTGCTTTTTTGCCTAAAAGAAAATCGCACAAAATAACTTTTACTGAAATATTTTTGTGGTGAAACCTTTTTTATTCGAGTATCAATGGGAAGGTTACTTTAACAATGAATGTGATCTGTTCCGTAAAAACGATACTGCTCGGTGCATAAATAGTCACTTCTTCCTGCCTGAAATCGAAATAGCGAAACCAAGTAGCACGGTCAGGCATCTCTTAACAAGAGACTTTATCAAGAGAAAACTATATCAAGCCATAAACGCTTTTTCGTTCCGTCAGTCGAGGCTGTTTAAAAATAGTGATGGTCAACAAAGCATAACAACAGCGAACGGGATAAATATATTCATTGCGTTTGCAAAATACAGCACATTTCTTAGAAAAGACTGTTTTTTTCAGGTCTGATTTCCACTATTGCTCAAATAGTGCTTTACTGCGAAGGATCGTTCTTATATACGAAAAAGACTGTTTACAAATCATTTGCATGCGACTGAGACGCCATTTTGATGAGCTCAGAGAAATGAAGACTTATAATAAATTTTTCTGCTTTGAAGCTTCGATAAGATAGATGAGAAGTGATAATCACTTCCTTTAGTTTTCGTTTCGAGCAGGCCTTACAGTTAAATTGCTGACTCCATCGTCTTGTTTATCACTGAATAATGAATAATACTTTTCCGTGAGAACTTGAACGTTAAGGAGATATTTTACTGAATTAACGCCAAAACGACTGCTGCTCCATTCGAAATTACTGGTAGACTTAAAAATCCTGCTTATTTACCGCATTGTACAATAAAATCTTATTTTGAGACGGATAGCAACCGGCAGCAAACACCACTGTAACTTTAGCTGAACTTTAAAAAGGCATTTAATTTAAGATAGTAAACTTGAACATTTTTCGTCTCTCGGAACACGAAGTAAAAGCTCCGTCACTCTAATTGATCGATCGACTCGACAATTTTGGGGCAAGCGTGATTAATGTTTACCTTAAAGGTCGGCACACACGAGGGGACTAGTCCCTGCGACTAGTCCCAGCGACAAGTTTCATGCGACTAGTCCCTTCGTGTGAACTACACATTTCTGTAATCGCAGGGACCAAAATTTGGTCCCTGCGATTGGTCGCAGGGACTTGTCGCACGAAACAAACGTTTGTCCCTTCGTGTGAACTGTTTGTGCGACCAGTCCCTGCGACTAAACGGTAAATAAGCCAATCACGGGTCAGTATGATTTGTAAACACTGCAGTTTCTATGAATTTTCCCTGAATTCTAGATTTCTACAACTGAATAATAAAAAAGCTATTTCTAGTTTTGTAAATATATAAAGATGTCTTGGAGCCGTTTTGATGGAATTTTTACCCTATTTGACTGTGTCTGTTAAAAATAAAAAAAAATAAAAAAAGCAACACGTAAAAGCATGAATAAACCGACTGAATAAGTGTAGTTCATTTGCGTTGATGTTTAATAGTGCTACAATGAAAAGTTACCAAATTTTCATTGTTTTCGTGTAACGCCCCAGACTAAGCAACATCTTTTGACTCTTAATTTTCCTATGTTCGTGTGCAATTGAGTGCCCTCGTGAGAACGCCTTAAGGGACTAGTCCCTGCTACCGGTCCCCTCGTGTAAACCCTTCAAAGACTTGTCGCCGGGACTAGTCGCACGGACTAGTCGCAGGGACTAGTCGCAGAGACAAGTCCGCTCGTGTGTGCCGACCTTTAGACCTTTCCCACACAAGCCACACTTTGATGGCTTTCTTCGATGACTGTGATCACGTACGTGTGTGATTAACGTTTACCTTTAGACCCTTTATCGCGAGCCACTCCTTAATGAAATTCTACGACCACACTGTGATCACGTGCATGGGCCTTAAATTAAAGTCACAAAGAATCTTATTGGAAGAGAACTACCCTTACCGATGCATCACGGGAGTCATGTCACTGGCAGCTGCGAATCGAGAAGGCTTCGAAGTACTTTTACTTAGAATTGCTCAAGGTGGAGATTTCTTTTCTGGCTCGTAAGAGTTTATTCAGCTTTCATTCAAATTCAGCTACCGCTAGGATATTTCTGGTGAGTCATTTTATGTTCTCCACAATATCTGATCATTTAAGGCCGGGTTGTTGTGCCGTTCAGTTGCTTTCAGCACTACACGGCGATAACTCGCCGGCACACTCCCTTTACAGTTCGACTTAAGTTGCTTTGTCGATTTGTTGATCGTTTCTTTCGCTTTGAAANGATGCTCTTCAAATATATCATTGGGCCGTAAGCGGTCAACTTTCTGAAATTTTCATGGGAGAGACATGTGAATTGAATGTTGCTTTTTTTCCTAAAAGCAAATCGCACAAAATAACTTGTACTGAGATATTTTTGTAGCGAAACCTCTTTTATTCGAGTATTAACGGGAAGGTTGTATTAATCATGAATGTGATCTGTTCCGTAAAAACGATACTGCTCGGTGCATAAATAGTCACTTCTTCCTGCCTGAAATCGAAATAGCGAAACCAAGTAGCACGGTCAGGCATCTCTTAACAAGAGACTTTATCAAGAGAAAACTATATCAAGCCATAAACACTTTTTCGTTCCGTCAATCGAGGCTGTTTGAAAATAGTGATGGTCAACAAAGGGTATCAACAACAACGAACGGGAGAAATGTTTCAATTACGTTTGCAAAATACAGCCGCATATTTCTTAGAAAAGACTGTCTACGAATCATTTGCATGCGACTGAGACGCCATTTTGATGAGCTCAGAGAAATGAGGATTGTAATAAATTTTTGTGCTTTGAGCTTCGTTGAGACAGATAAGAAGTGATAATCACTTTCTTTAGTTTCGTTTCGAGCCTCTTTTCCTTTTCGCAACCCACTCCTTTATGGAATTTTACGACCACACTATGACCACGTGCGTGGACTCTTAATTAAAGTCGCAAGGAATCTTATTGGAAGAGAACTACCCTTACCGATGCATCTCGGGAGTCGTGTGACTGACACCTGCGGAGTTTCTTTTCTATCTGTTAGGAGTTTATTCGGCTTTCATTCGAATTCACATACAGCTAGGATATTTCTAGTAAGTCATTTTATGTTCTACAGAATATCTGATCATTTAAGGCCTAGTTGTTGTTACTTTCATCACTACACATAGATAACTAGCCGGCACACCTCAGCTACCTTAACAGTTCGACTGAATTAAGTTGCTTTGTCGTAAATAATCATCAAAAATTTTCATTCAATGCTATTTCAAGAGGCATGATAGATTTATTTCACTCTTTAAATAGATCATTGGGCTCTAAGCGTTCAACTTTCCAAACATACTTCCACAGGAGATATACTTGACCTGAGTGGCGCTTTTTGTCTAAAAGCAAAGCAAACAAAACATCTTGTACTGAGGAAGTTCTCTGGATAGAATTGCAGGTAAATGTTACTCGAGTATAACTCAGAAAGTTCCACATGTACTAATCAAGAACGTGATCTGTTTGGTGACAACGAAACTTCGATCTGCGGCTCGGTGTGTGAACAGTCGACAATGAAATTTGTGTTAGGCAATAAACTTGATTTCCTAGAGAAAAAGGTAGGTCAAAGAACAACAGTGCGATCTGTAAACTTTAACCAGAGCATTTCATTCAAGAAGACATTTAAGTTTCTTACAGGCCGTCTGCACCTCTTGCTTTACGCTTCAGTATAGTATCATTTGCACTGAAATAGTTAAGCGGCTTTCTTATCCTTCAATATCGTTTCTCGGAAAAGAGCAAATAGGCATGAAAATGTTGCAGTGTTTTATTCCACGAATACTGCACCCTTTTCTCTCGGTAAAAGAGCTCTTGCGTAACGGTTATATAAGTTTTCGACCCTTTGGGCCGGTAAAGGTTAGTGCCTTGATGAAAGGAAATAATAGACAATGTCTTGAATTTTTCCGTTTCCTCTTAAAATCTTAAATACAAGCTGTGTATATTTTTTGAAGATAGGATCAGTTCTCGGAAAAAGGCTTTACTGTTTTCATTGTTTGCTAATAATACAAGACCTCAAGATAGTTATGTAAAGTAACCGTAACTCCCAGACGGGGAAAAAATAATACTGTCAAAGACAGCGAGACCTGTGAAATGTAACAAAGCAATTTGAAAGTTTTCATGATATTGTAGGCATCTAAGCGCAGGTAAAATATGGCAAGTTTTCACTTGAACTGCATTTCTTGGAAAATAGTGAATATCACTTAGGTTTTGCATAATTTTCCGATTCCACAAGGTAATGCTTTTTCATCCTTATATTGGCTGGTTGCCGTTTTATACACATGTATGATTCATTTCCACCTAGATAAGACTCTTAGAGCTACAAAGTGTCTTTCGTTTCTGTGATTTGTTTTAACGAAGCAATGACTTATTTGATTTCTATGCCATGTACGCATAATAAAAAGGAAGATCATGTCATCATGTCTTCTCTCGCTCAAGTCTAATTTAGTCGCCAAATATATTTTTCACTCACCATTGCGACCAAAATGGTGGCAGTTGGATTGCCGAAAGATGATTATTTAATTATTTCAATTTTCTTGGAAAAAGCTGTTTGCAGATTATAACAATACTTCCTTAGGTTTCGTCCTAAGCAGGAAAGCAATAAGAATCTTCCCATAACTTACTGACTCCATCATCTTGTTCATGAATAATGAAGGATGTCTTTGAGAACCTGAACGTAAAGCGGATATTTCAATTAAGGCTGAAGCGAATGCTGCTCCTTTCGAAATTACAGGTAGACCTGAATATCCTGGATCTGACAGACGAGTATTGTAAGATCAACGGCTTTGAACCCTGGATACCAAACAGTTTTTTTGAGTCTGCTTAGACAACCTTGCGACGAATGACAAAGCAGCAAACACTATTGTAGCTTTTATGAACCTTAAATATATCTTATTCACCAGCCGGGAGGTTCGTATTGGGAAAAACTGTGCCTGAGGTCTTGGATACTCAAGACAGAGGGCACCGGTAGTTTTTCCCAATACGGACCGACCCATGCTGGTGAATAAATTATTTATTTTTCCTAACACATAACAAAATGATTGCCAAAAGAGCCCGAATGATTAAGGGCTACAATTACGAGTTTAATTACGGAACTGAATCCTCTATAACGCTATTCAAATTAAAGAGAAAGCTTTCACTGAATCATTCTTATTTGCAAAGGAAGGTTTCCGAGTAAACTTTGAAACATTTTTTGATAAGTAACTGTCATGATGTGACAGCTGTGAATTGAAGAGGAATTTTAAAAAGCACATGTATGCTTTTGAACAAACAACAGTACTTGTCTGGCAAACACGCACGAGTTAAATGACCATGCAACGATCTTCTCGCCAAAAATAAAAAAAAAGAAAGCAACAAAGCGCTCAGAGATCTTACGGAAAATATTGTTTATTTCCAACGACGATTGATCTTGGAAGATTCACCTCTGTTACGGCATGTGACTGAAGCAGCTTCCAAATTGACCAACGAACCATTGTTGGTTTCCTTTAAAGGTGGAAATAATTTCTTTTGCTTTTATTTTCTTTTGATTGAATTCACCTGCCACTACGATATTTCTGGTAAGTCATTTTATGTTCTTCAGAATATGTGATCACTTCAGGCCAAGTTGTTGTGCTGTTCAGTTGGCTTTCAGCACTACGCATCGATTACTACCTGGTACACCTTGACTCTCTTCGCAGTTGATTGTTGGTCACTTGTTTCGTTTTCAATGTAGAAAATCATCAAATATTTCCTTTTAATGCTATGTGCCAGGAAATTTCGCTTGATTCTGACTGGTTTAGCATATGTTTTATACCGTTTCAAATACTTTAATCGCGCAACTGCACTCGCAACGAGAACAATTTGGCAAAATCTATACATTGAATGACCAAGAAATAGAACAAATAGCTGTGGTCTGATAATGTTAAATGGACATCGAGGCAAGCTCCTTCACATGAAAATGTAAAAAAATACTGAAAAAGCTAGAAGATGACTTCAACTAACTCTTGTTTCTCGGAAAATATCTAAATATTGAAAGGCATTGTGAGCGTCATGCGATCAAACTAGTGGACGGTGTAAAAACTATGCATCGGCTCCGAATGAAGATGTTTTATCGGTTTACTTTGTACGAGAGTAAAGACGTCTACCAGAGGTTTCTTTTGAAGTGACTGACGTGGTTCCCATCAGATGCATGATTGAGTTGTTGCGCTCTTTGAATATATCATTGGGTTGAAATCAGTCAACTTTCTTTACACTTCGATAGAGAAGATATATGACCTGAGTGGCGCTATTTTTCCTAAAAGCAAAGCGCTCAAAACATCTTGTACTGAGGAATTTCTCTGGGTAGAAATGTTATCTGAGTATAACTGAGAAGGTTACACATTTATTAGTCAAGAACGTGATCTGTTTCGTAAAAAAAAAAACTTCTGCGGCCCGGTGTGTAGTCAGGCGTCTCTTCTTTAAAAGGAGATGCGAAGCGAAATGATCTCTTCAAATGTGAACTCAACAGTTTTTTTTTTCTCCTTAACTCAACTCTCGAAAGCTAGAAGCTAGATTCGGTCTCGGTTTAGTCTCGAACTCAACAGTTTTTTGTCTCCTTAACTTAACCTTCGAAGGCTGGAAGTTAGCTTCCGTCTCGGTTCTTTTCCGACTGAACTGTTGTGCATCTCGACCCTAGGTCACTCAACTTTGAAAAAAGTGCATACTGTTAACTTAGCTTGAGCAACTTTGCGAAGTAACACAGCTTAGCAAAAGCTTAGATCTTTGAAAAACCTGTGAAACGACAATCAACCTTGTATTATGCAATAAACTTTAATTCCGAGAGGGAGAGGAAGGTCAAAGAACAACACTAAGATCTGGGAAATTTGTTGGCATCGGAGAGCAGGTAATTTATGCCACGCTTCCAACTGCATTTCTGAGAAAATAGTATATTACTTAGATTTTGCATAATTTTCTCAACGATTCCGCAACGTAATGCTGTTTCAACCTGAGGTTGGTTGCAAATTTCGGAAAGATGAATGTGACTGTAACCAAGTTGTTCTCGGAACATATTGTTTACGAATTTAATGAGCCCCTCTGAGTCACTCATCACACGTACATAAACGGCTATTCTCAGGGAAATATTCTTGATTAGTGATATTTCATTACAACATACAGGGTGCCGGAGCGATTGCATAGTTTGGTTTAATTTGAGTCAGACCGCACGATGTACTTTTCAGCCCTTAGAGTCGTTAGGTTGCATTTTTGTGTTTGTAATTAGCAATTAATAACGCTGTTTGTGTTAAAGGAGATGCTATAGTTAGCTTTTCTAACTTTTCAGAGTTTATTCATTCGAATACATCCGCTCTTACGATAATTTTGGTAAGTCATTCCATGTTTTCCGGCATGTTTGATCATATAGGACCGCGTTGTCGTGTCGTTGGCTTTTAGCAATACACATCGATTACCAGCTGGCACACCTTAGCTCTCTACGCAGTTCGATTTGACTCGATCTAAATTAATCACTTTTTCGTTTTTACGATCAGAATCATAAGAAAATTGTTTTAATGATACTTTTATTGTTCCAAGCATAATTGCGGCAAAACGTCATTCGAGTATCACTGAGAAAGTCATACTGATCAAAAACGGCCTTGGCTTAACCTTCGAAGTCATGTTAGAAGTAAACTTCGGTCTTGGTTCTTGCCTGAAATGTTGTCCAGTATCGATCCAAAGCCTGACTCAACTCTGAGAACATTGCAGGCTCTTCACTTAAGCTTTAAGTAGTTGTACAAGGCCGTGACAGAAATAGGAGAAGCTCAAAACTTTAAGAAAGATGTTATTGGAAATAAAATATCGTTATGCATGTAATACCTTGAACTCCACGAGTGAGAGAAACGGTCAAACAACAACATTGAGATCTTTAAATTTACCAAAAATGTATTTGCGAGACTTATTCTTTTCGGACCTTTGCCGCCTCAATTGTCTCTTCGTTTGGGTGATATCACGGCATTGAAGAGTAGAGCGTTAGCATCCAACAACGTTTCTCGGAAAATAGAAAATATACATACATATAAAATAGCATTAATTTTTCGATTCGACGAAAGCGGAATCCGGAGGTTTAAAGTTCGATTCCTGTGGGAGGCGAAGCGAAATGTTCAAACAACAAAACTATGAGACGTGTGAAATTTGACCGAAATATTTCCCTTGCAGACTCCGGCTGAACTAAGAGAATTAGCTAAATGCTTTCCTTTTGCTCAGAAAATTGGAGAGTTCTTGAATTCATTCTATATGAAAGTGATATTGTAGCACCGAAACGATACACTAACAGACTAGAATGAATTTTCAAAGGTGTTTCAACGTAATCGGTTACGGTCTTATCTCCCTTACGATTTGCCAATTAATATTTATGCAACACTGAAAAAAGTAATTTTTGCTTATCCTAATTAGCATAAATTGATATTTTACTAACGTGCTCAGATATAAACTCTTTGTGTGTTCGATTGAGTAGTGGAGGCGAAATACTTTGTCCCTGAGTTGTAGAGAAATGTCAAGACAACAAATTTGAACAGAGAACTTTCATTCTCCTTGGCGAAGAAAATTGGCAGAACGTTTGCCTTTTGTACAGAGCATTCATTAGTTCTTAAATTTGTTCAGGGCTAACGTAATATCACAGCATCCGGACGATAAATTGAAACAAGCTTCAACCGCCTTTTTTGAGAAACTAGCTCTTTCACTCAGAGTTCGCCCATTTCTTACGAATTCCATGAATACTTCACACTTTCCTGCCAGACAAAGAATTCCAGAGTAACTTAGGGCCTGTTTACATGGAGGGAGGGTGCCCCGGCTAACCGAGCTACCCTGGGCGGGCTAACTACTCTACGTTTCTCTGGAAAACGCTTGAAGCGTTTACATGCTAGACAGGGTAGCCTGCCCACCCGGGGCACCCTGTCTACTTGCCCGGGGCACCCGGCTAGGCGGGATAGCTTTTTACCATGTAAACGGTTCGTGCCGGGCTATCCCGGCTAGCCGAGGAGAGATTAACCGCGAAAACGTCGATAAACATGGCGGCCCGATGTCAGTATTTTCTTCGTTACCATTTGCCAGTGTTATCTGCCGAACAAAATGACAGTCAGTCTGAAGAGATCAATGTAGTAGGTGAGTCCCAGGCAGAGAACAGATTCGTGCCCGTGCAGGAAGCTGAAATAACCACTGTTACCAAAACATATTCACGTTCAAGTTTTTTTTGTCGGCCAGTTTGTTTGTTTTGCTTAGCGACCGCTCAAAAGACTGGCCACGCAGTCCCACTCACTGTCCCGGTTAGGTGAGTTGCATGTAAGGGTGGGCTATGTTTCAACCCTTTTAGCCGGGTAGCCCGGTTAGCCGGGGCACCCTCCCTCCATGAAAACAGGCCCTTAGGTATAATTTGGACTTAGTGATGCCTTCAATCTTCCTAAAAGAAATAATACATAAAGCCATATTTTTTTCACTAGAGATCAACCACGGAAATCGCAAAAATAGACTCTGTGCTTGTTTACAACTGATTTAAAGTGCACCTAAACCCAAAAATGTTTTTTCGCTTAACGAAATAAGCATATTTTTTGGAGCATTTCTGTGCAAAAATTTTTTTATTTGCTCAAATCTTCAATTTTCTGTGCCCAGTCAAAATACCGAAAATCGGCCGCCATGTTGCCCCACGACCGAGTTTAAAGAGGAATGGCTCTAGCGGGTAATGTGACGTCAAATTGAGAACACGAAAGTCTGTGTTTCACACATTTTCACTTGTTTGGGAAGTTTGTCGTCGATATTGTCCGAAATATGCCGACTAGGTGTGTTGTATGAGGAATGTATGAAGCGCGATACCCTCTTGCAAATTTCGCACGTTGCTACATCCTTCTACAACACACTTAGTCGGCATATTTTCGGACAATATCGACTACAACCTTCCCAAACAAGTGAAAATGTGTGAAATGCAGACTTTCGTGTTCTCGATTTGACGTCACATTACCCGCTAGAGCCATTCCTCTTTAAACTCGGTCGTGGGGCAAGATGGCGGCCGATTTTCCGTATTTTGACTGGGCATAGAAAATT